ATTGGCTCTTGGTCAGGGAATCTGTATTGCAGTTAATATGGCAAAGAACTAGGGCTCAGATTCCTCTCTTAAAAAATCTCTCACAGCCCTAGCTCTTTGCCATATTAACTGCAATACAGATTCCCTGACCAAGAGCCAATTTACTGAACATATACATCTTTACTTGAAGTGAGGTTCTTGCCCACGAAAGCTTATGCTCCCAATACTTCTGTTAGTCTTAAAGGTGCCACAGGACCCTCTGTTGCTTTTTACATAAAACTCAGGATCTCTCTTTGGTTTTTCAAATATGCTAGGCACTGAATCTTCCCCCAGCATCTTCAAATGATGGTTCATACTTTCCCCATGCCCTTCAATGCAGCTGTTTACTTAGATGAGCTGCAGGCAGTCTTACACTGCTTAGGTTTGCTTCACTGGCTTACTGTTTCCTGTTTACATCTTCTGGCTTCACTTCCCATTTAAAGGTGGCAGGGGTATTTAGAACAGTATGAAAAATCACCCTCTGTTCCTTCCCTGGGGTCCATCACCTTTCAGCTGCTTGGGGTGGTGACCACATGAATTAAAGAGGACACTGGGTGGGGAAAGTTGAAGGCCACAAGGGCAGGGAGAGATCAGAGTTACTATTGGGAGTCTCTTCTGAACAGTGTGAGATGTACCTTCCCCAGTGAGGTCCTTGGCTTGCTGCTCGCAGCAGCCAACTCTGGTTCTTCACAACTTTCCCATGTGACAGCCTCTCCTGCTAATGAACAGTCTGTGGTTGAGAGAGCCACCTGACAATGGGGCCAGGAGCCACTCAGGTGTACCTCTTCCTTGAAGCAGCATTCATCCACAAGCAGCAGGCATTTGCTCAGTTTTTTAGGATTAGCAGTACAGTGGAATTGACCTAGTGATGCATACACAAGGGTCTCTTCTGCCTTCTGTTTGATTCTCAGCTCTTGGTTGTCTGTCTCTTCATGCAAGTTCTGTGTAAGTATTTGTAGCTCTGGTCTTCTCAGTTCCGTATTGGAAGTGCTGCTATGGCAGTCTGTTGAAGCCCAGTCTGTCAAAATATTACCCTAAATGCAGTATTGTTTTAGTCAGACCCTCAAGCAGAAGGAATGTCTCTTGAAATCAGGCAGAGTGAGCTAATCATAAATGTACAGATCTTTCATAGATTCTGTTGGGTGGATGGGACCTGGCTGTGCTTCTAAGGTCACCCGTATATAGTTTCTGATTATTTACATTCACAAACACCAGAGTTGTTGCATTTGGCTCAAGTTCTGTAAGTTTTGTTTGTACACAGTATACTTAACTGGCATCTGTCCAATCATAGAATCCTAGACTATCAGGGTTGGAAGGGACCTCAGGAGGTCATCTAGTCCAGCCCCCTGCTCAAAGCAGGACCAATCCCCAAGGTGAATTGTTTTTTTAAAATATTAAGTTAAAAAACAAACAAACCCTAAACCCATTTAAAACTAAATTTGAACTTGCCAACCTTTAAACAATTTAAAAAAGGGATCACTGAACACTGGTAAACTTTAACTAATGATTTGAAAGCTGCTTTTTTCTGTACAGAATCAGATGGAAAACATCTTTAACTTTTGAGGTCTCGCTTTGTAAATATGGCACAATATCTGATGCAGTGCATTAAGCATCTAGATCATTTTCAGTCTTTATAATGGAGAGAATGCTAGTGCTTTTTTCTAAATGTCAGTACTTTCAGTTTCTGTTCCGCAGAAAACCTTTTTCCTTAATTACTTTTGGTTTCAATTTAGCAGAAATCTCTAGTTTAGTTTTTGCAGTCTATTCATCAGTCATCTAACCTTTTTAAGATTATAGCTTCTTCTAGTGTAGATTTCAGCATTGGGAAGTGAGGAAAACACTTTGGCAGTTTTATTCAATTAATAAAAAAAATTTCTAACTTGTTTTGCATTTTTTTTAAAGTTTTTAATTCCAATTTCCAAATGTACCTTGAGTCAAATCATGAGTACAACTTTAATTATATAGTAAACAGCATGAAGACTGATATATTTTCTATAGCAGATCAGACTTGTGGTCCCTCTAAGACCAGACAGTTTCTTCCTAAAGCCTGCAAATTAAAAGTTAGTGCGTATTGTGGAGCATGAGGGTTTATATCTCTTCTGAACTATTGCTGTCTTTGTTAATCCTTTCTAATGTAACTCTGGATTTTATCTGTATAAATGCTCAGTCCTTTAGAGTCCTCTTAAGATCTTGGTCTCAATATCCTGTGGCAATGACTTCTATGGGCTAATTGAGCTGTATGTGTAAAGTGTTTTGTTTTACCAGTTCTAAGTTTGCATTTAATGCTTTTCCATTTCATTCTTCTTTTATGAGGGAGGATAAGGGCCTGATATACCTTTTTCTGTACCATTTGTTATTTTATATGCTGCTTTCATGGCCCTCTTATTTGTCGTCTCTAAACTAGGTAGCCTGTCTTTTCAATATCTTGTCATTCAGAAATCTTTCCAGGTCATGAATTGTCCACCTCTGAACCTCTTCTATTTCTGCTATCCTTTTTTGTGATGTGGTAAGCAGAACTGCACACAGTATTCTATGTGAGGGCCTTGGTATTATCTCTGTTGCTCTTTTAGTAAAAGAAGACTTGGAGGAAGGTGAGACTGGGCTGAGACATTGTGCCTTTCACTTTTAGGCCACTAGTTTAAATTCAACCTTAGTTGATACTGATGGAAAATCATCGGACATCTATTCAACTTCTGTGAACTGAGGGAACAAGCGGTTTCTGTTCAGAGGGCTATATCACAGATGGCACTAAACTCTCAGCAGAGAGGCCAGTGATAGCCTTTCAAGTGTAGACAAGCCCTTAGAGAGAACTGGTAAGAAAGGACAAACTTTTCTCTTAGATGTTGTAATCTTCTATTTTCCATGCTGTTTAAACAGGAGGAGTGTCTATTCCCCAGCCTGAGACCTATCCGTCCTGATCAGGATCTTGGCTTATTAAAGAGATGTCTGTCACAGTCCCGGGCAACTTCACCTATGTTCCCCCTCCTGGGTCCAGCAAGGGCACCCACTCTAGGCTTCTGGCTCCTCAGCTGTCACCTCTCTTGTGGGGAGACCTGTCTCTCTCACCCTTCTGGCTCTCCAGACTGCACAGTTCCCTGTTACACTGCAAATTCCCCAGCATGTCAGACTGCCTAAGCAGGTCTGCTTTGCTTTCTCGTTAGAGGCTATAAACATTGTAATTATCCACAGTTAGGTTACCCCACAGCTATTTCTAAACAAGCACATTTATTCTTAAGATGAAAGCATTAGCAAAAAACATATTAAAACAATAAACAAACCAACACACATGTCAGTAATCACCCCCAAGTCTAATAAGGGCTCCGGTAGGCAAACAGTTCTTTAAACCTCAATACAGGTTTTTCTGTGGTTACTAATTCATAACAGCTGTTAGCTCAGAACAATCACATCCATGAGTCTGAGTCCCTCCTTTTACAGTCT